GTCGAAAGCCGCTTTCAGATCCAGGAAGATAGACATGGTGGGTCTACGAAAGGAGTGTCTGTGTTCTAGAATTTGACGAACAGTGAAAATGTGGTCGATACAACCTCGACTAGGTCTAAAACTAGCCTAGTTCTCACGTGTACACCGTTCACGTGCGGCAGACAGTTGACGGAATATGATGCCAGCGAGAAGTTTAGGGGCAATATTGATTAAACTAATTCCTGTGGTTTTCACAGGAGGATCTATCACCTTTCTTGTAAATGGGGGACACGTTCAAGAGAGACGGAGATGAGAGAAGCTTTGTAAGAGCTGAAACAGTTTGCAGAACCCCATACAGAAATGAGTCCGAGATCGGAGGCAAGAAAAGCACTAAAGACATTACGATTGCGATCGACATCGGTACTATCTTGATGGGTTGTGAGGGGAGAAAGAGAACAATGGAGAGTGGCGTCATCAGCAAAGCAATGGATGGGATTAGAGATTGGATAAAAATTAGTTGATAAATAAAAGACGGTGGGCGAAAATATGGAGCCATTGGGCACGCCGGTGTTCACAGCGAATGGCCGAGATAGAACCCCATCTACTAGGAAGGAGATGGTTCGCCCACTAAAGCAGCATCAGAGCTACGATACTAGAGACAGGTGGAATCCGAACGAGGGTAATTTCGACAGCGGATCTTCATGCCAAACGCGATCGAAGGCATTTGAAATGTCAAGCTAGACCATGTGAATTTCTCCGTGGTTATTGAATGCAGTCGACAAAGAATGTGATGTGAGCGCCAGTAGGTCACCCATAGATCGACGAGGGCAAAATCCATGCTGACGGTCATCCAACAAACCTTCGTGTTCGAGAAACGTACGCAGTTGGTCGGAGATAACGGTTTCAAACACTTTCGAAATTACAGATGTGAGAGTGATGAGACGATAGTTGTTGGGGTCGGAAGGGTCACCGCGCTTTGGGATTGGAAAAATAATGGCACTGTTCCATGGAGTAGGGAAAGAGCTTAGATCGAGTGAAGAACAGAAAAGGCGGCGTAGGACAGGGGTCAACTCCGGGGCACACATTTTTAGGACGATAGGTAGAATACCGTCCGGACCGGGTGGTTTATAAACAACCAAACCACGAAGAGTTTGGCGGACCTTTCTGGTTGCTATCATAGGTAGAAAGGAGTGGTTGGATGTGTAGGAGGGTAGAACAGTAAAGTTTGCAGATAAGGTGAAGTAAGGGGCAAACCGGGAAGCGAAGACCAATGCTGTTTGTGACGTTCACAAACAACAGTACCAGAGGAATTGTGAATAGGATGAAGGCGGAAGTCATCATCATAATCGTCGTACAACGAAATACAGTGAGGCGAACTTCACTGATCGCTGCCAAACTCGCAATCCATAACGGAGCAGCAGGTCTTCGTGAATATGGGTTTGCCCCGTCTGCTGTTCTTCACACAAAATGTGTGTATAAAAAAACTGGGGTTTGATGGACGGGTACTGCTAGGGTGTCCAGCCACTAAGCACAAGAACGATAAGAGTTCTCAACCAAATCCTTTAGTTCTGACAGGCAGCGGGTGAAGCGAAATAGAGGCCCGTTTACGTGGATCAATTACTTCTCCACTATTTTTACCGACTGAAACGCAAATTCTAGCCGAACCCCCAACATGGAGGACCAGGAGACTGGACTTCAACCTTTCAGGCATGATTAGATCTTCGGATTGACAAAAGCCATCCTGTGTAGCTCGTTGGGTCAGAGGGGTGCACAAGCCATCACACCACGTCAACGTGCAGTCTCGTCATGTCTCTAATCATTGATCATAATGATCTTGAGATCTCCATCAAGGGAGCCTAACGCGACCTATATGAACGAGTCTCTTGGTTAGGGTTTTCATAACATCATGCTAGGTCTTATGTTGATAGTGAAGTAGAAAAAATAAATTTTTACGAAATTCTTTTAAACGCTTATAGATATCTATCACAACGAGACTTACGTTGACACGTGATGAGTTGCGTGCCGCTATAGGTCAAGTCAAGTACAGGCTTGATGAACCCCGAGATGTGCATATGACCCTGCGATCCCAGAGAGGAGCCGGGTGAAGTGCAAACTTCTCTGGACGGTTTGCGTGCAAATGTAGCCATGCTCGGCATGCGTTTTGCACCTTCAAATGTTGCTACAAAACTGGATTGGTTCAGTCCCCATTTCTGTATAACTGGGGAAGTATCAGAGAAACTAAAAAACTTCTCTATTCCAGAAGCTGTATCTCAACTGGTGGACGCATCACGGATGAAGCGTCAGCTCGCATACAGTATATTCTGTTGGTATTCGCCAACTTAGCGCCATCGAGACATCCGACTGTCTGTGACTGGTAGACTGTATACTGCAGCAGTTGAGCCAGTGCTGCCTGACCGTGCATAGACTTGATCATTAGGACAACAGGATGAAGACAGACTTTCAGTGTTTAAACACCGCTGTCTACACCATTACACGAGTTTGGAGCGGGAAGCGAACAAGTAATGCTAAGGTTAGGCTCAGAGTATTAGGTAATCGCGATCGCCAACTGGAGAAACCGGTCGACCTCCACAAACTACGTTGCTTAGTATGTGTTGCGCATGTCACCAGATAGATTACCACGACCTAAGATGTTTGACGAGGTAGGTAGTGGATGGCAAACAGTAAAGGGCGATCGTACTAGGAACTGGCATGAGGGTATGAAAAACCCTGACCACGAGAATCAGACACATAGTTTACGTTGGGTTGCCTGGAAGCGAACTCTGGAACATCGCAACCGGTGGTTAGACACTGAGTGGTAAAGCTGAGTGTTGCAAACAGTGACGCTCGCGCATCTATTCATTATCCCTTCAATCGTAGACTATATAAATTCTCTATTTTCTCTTTGACTCTGTTCCAAACATTAGAATTTTTCATCAGCTCTTTTAACCAAATAAGCAACCTAAGGACAGCAACTA